ATATATATATATATATATATTGGCTAAATCATGGTATACCTTATATCATGCAATGCCTAAGTGTATTGTGAATGTAACGCTTTTATGATGTTTATGGATTTCTTTTTAGTTATAATAGACTCATCTTCTCAACAGGTTGCGCACTTGCGCCTGAAAACTACACTGAGAGAAGTATTGCAAGAGATCTAAATACTACATTAAATCAATATATATGTTGGAGCAGTAGTTTCTTTGCTCTAAATAAAATGGTTTCATTTTAGAAAAGTTGTAATCTTTATCATCAAACTTGAGCGCTACACGATACAAGGCATTATATGAGATCTATGTATCTTTTAATCTATTGTTTAGGTCATGCTATGCATCAACACGCATTCCGTGTGTGTGATCGAGGATTAACGTAACTCTTCACATTGAATCCGAACACGACAAGATTCACCGAGTTGTTGTTTTGGAGGTTACTATGTTGGGAACATGTATTCACGCTATCTGTTTCATTTACATATAATCAGAATTCTTTACATTATACGTAGAGACGTTTCCTTGAATTAGAAATTACTTGTTCTTTCTGTCCGTTGTGTCCTTTTCCACCTTGTTACTCTGCTCGTTTGTTTGTTTTTTTTTAATCTCCTACTTTATATATCCTTCTTCATCCCAACCAACAAAAACTTAAGAACTCTCTGCTTCGTACTGGCCTACATGTAATTGCAATTGTATCTTCTTTTTCTATTCTTCCTTCCTTCCTTTCTTTCTTTCTTTCTTTTTTTTGCCACATTAAAGTATCCATGCATTAATTTTACATAACAGGACATATAATACATTAACCACCTAAGGCAGCTTAGAGGGTAAGAGTGAGATGGGGTGTGAGTATAAATTAAGGGTTAAGTTCTTATTGTATACATAAAAAGAAAAACATAATATTTAATCTCTATAGTTTTATTGAATATTATTTTTAGTCTTTGTAATTTTTTTCGAGTGGGATTGAAAACACTACAAATATTAAAACTATAGAGATTTAAGTAACAAAAATTATCTAATTTTGTTGAAACTATAGAAACTGAAAATAATGAAAAAAACTATAAAAATTAAAAATAAAACCCAATAAAATTATAAGAACCCAAATATATATATATATATATATAATACATTTATACAACTTTAAAATGTGATTTAGTGCCTTCCTTTTGCAATCTCATTCGTATATGTACAAATAATTATATAATTTTAGTCGTTACTTTAAAAAAGGAGTATACATCACTTGCTTCATCTCCTAGACATTATATTAGTAATATATATTTAAATTTAAAAATTGCCTCGAGTCAAAACACACTGATAAGAGAGGCAAGTATTGCGGGGCATTACTCTCTCTCTCTCTAAAAGCTAGGATATTGGGATGTGTAATGCACTCATTTATATAATTAGGACCCTCCCAAAGTCTCTCATATGTGGAATATAATAGCTCCGATCCCCCAGTCAATTCGTGATGCTTCTGTCACTGGTAATCCACCAGAAGGGCTCACCACCTCAACAAACTTAGGTTTGGCTCTAATTAATACCACTTTATCATAAGACTATTACTTTCTTTCCAAAAAGTTAATTCAGTGAGATATGCAATGCACTCACTTATATAGAAAGATCCTCCTCAAGTTCCTCTAATATGAGACATAACGTAAGGCACCCTATACATTCCCAAGGGAAAAGCATGGAATTGTAGCCTTATAATTCGTGTCTATCATCTAAGAAATTTAACATTCGCTTCATTTAATTAACAAATTTACATTTTGGATAAATAAATTTTTTCATTTCAAAGTTAACACAATTATATGTTGAAGTTACTTTAAGAAAGTTCAATTACAAAAACTAAGTTATGTTGAAGTTACTTTATGAAAGTTTAATTAAAAAACTAAATTAAATAAGATAACCTACATGGTACAAATAATAAAACAAAAACCAAATCATTAATTTCTATAATTTTATTGGATTTTGCTTTTAGTTATTATAGTTTTTTCAATCATTATAAGAACTAAAAATATTAAAATTTTAGGGATTTGAATCACAAACGTCGTTTAATTTTACTGAAACTATAAGGACTAAAAATAAAAAAAAATTATAAGGACTAAAAGTAAAATATCATAAAACTATAAAAATTGATAATTATGTTTTTCTAATAACCTAATAATAAATGCATTAGCTTTGTAGTTTGTAGTGATGTAAAAATAATGGACACTTGTTCTACTAACAAGAAAGTTATAGGATTCAGTTTTAGTGCTTATCTTAGAATGAGCATCGTGGTACTCAATACCAAAACACTACATTTTGTAGTGTTAATTTTTTTTCTTTTTGTAAATCAAAAAATTATTATAATAATAAATAAATATTATAAAATTATTATTTTAATATTTAATAAATAAATTTAACTTGTTAAAATTTGATCTCAACAATTCAGATAAAAATTTTGGTTTGAACAATTCAAAACTATATTAAAAAAATTACCCAAAAAAATGACCTGAAAAATTTAAAATAGGAGTTGAGTCTAGCAAAATAAACTAATTTCTCACGATGTAACAAAACAATGTTTAAATTCCTATTAAAAAAAGTACTTATATTTAATACTGGCTATGTCTTAAATAATATTACATCTCATAGATGGACAACTATGCAAAATCAATAAAATAAAAAATATTTCATAGAATATATTTAGTTACATTTTTATTTTTTTACTACAATTCTAAATTGTTTAGACCAAAATTTTTATCTGAACTGTTTAGGTCAAATTTTAACAAGTTAAATTTATTTATTTATTAAATATTAAAATAATAATTTTATAATATTTATTTATAAGTATAAAACAATGTTGTGATTTAACAAAAAGAAAAGAAAAAAAAATTAACACCGCAAAACGCAAGGTTTATGTGTTGAGCACTGAAATTGAATTGGAAAGTTATATCCTCCTACCCAGAGGTAGAGTTCGAGCTCTAGAGATTGGAATTTGTGTTGGATTGGGAGGTGTAGTAGAAAATTAAAATTCAAATCCCAATCATGATCAAAACCAATCAAACTCGTTTAAATTAAGGTAGATAGAATAGTTATCTTTTTGTTTTCATACTTCTCACGTATTTTCTTCAAGTATTTGGATTTTAGAAGTTAACAATCTAAATCTGCTCCCTCTATTAATATCCACATGAACACCTTTTTAACACAAATAACGTGGTAACGCTCTCCATATCTAATGTCTGTCTATCCTTAAATCAAACACCCTTTTTGTTTTTTGGGATATTTTTGTGGCTCTCAAAGAGTTTTGTCGTCAAGAGACTCACACATTAGAAACTCATCCCTTTTATCTTAGATTAGGTTTTTTGTAGCCAACGAAATTAAATTTAATTTATCTCATAAATTAAATATATGATATCATATTTAATTTAAATTTATCTCATAAGTTCAAATTATATAACTAATATGATATCTTCCTATATCATGTTAGTTATTAAATTTAATTTATCATATAAAACAAAACTTAAAACTAACACAATAATACAATACAATATAACATATATCATATATATATATATATATATATATTATTTATATATATACAAATATATATATATATATATATTGAAAATATATAAATATATATTATATTATATTTTAAATTTTATACATCATATACATATATATATATATATACATATACAAATATTTATCATATAAATATTTAAATGCATATATATATATATATATATATAATTCATTTACTTTAGATAAAGTATTATATTCATTGAATCTAGATACATTTTAGATTTAATGAATTTGGATATTATAACTCGAGTTGAGTTATTTTTACATGCGATATTATAGGCTCATATGAAATTGGCAATAAGCCAATAATACTACTAGTCTACAAGTCTCAAGTAGTCTCTAGAAGAAATTTTGACTATGCAATTCATATAGAAATTGATGGTCTGATGTAACATATCATATAATTGTATCACATCTCTTTTGTCACACCATATTTTGGTTAAGTGTGAGATATGAAATTGTCATTTTTCTTTATCTAACCATTATTTTTTTGATCTCTAAGTGTACTGACTATAGTAATAGAAAAAACCTTTCAATTATAGTATGAGCATACATTTTTCAATCTTACTCATGGAGGGGCCTAGCAATATCTCTCAATTATTGTGAAGGATAAATTTCATCTTGACTACTCATATTCCTCTTCATAAATATAACTAAACTCAATTATAGCATTTATGATCACTCGGTTAAAGGTTACTTTTGACTAAGTCAAAGTTTAGTAGTCATCATATAAAAATTCATGATGATCTTAGGTCAAAGGGCTTAATGATATGGTTACATATAAGATAAGTTTATGACTTGTATCATGAAGCTTTCTCATAACGAGTTGGCCCAATACCTTGTATCCTTTTAAGTACTTATGATTTTGATTAATATCTTTATAATTAATTGAAGTTATACTAATTTTATTTCATCTATGATCTCTCAGATGATCGACCAATAACATTTAAGACAATTATTATAACTTATTTAAAGATATAGTTATCATAACAAATATATAATTAATATGTTAATAAAAAATTTATTAAATAATAATGTTCATAGTAAAATTATTAGTCTAAGGCACAATTTCTAGCAAGATGATCTACGTGGGACAAGCTCGGAACCCGGTTCCAACTTAAAAGTGAAATAATAATAATAATAATAATAATAATAATACACGAGCTTTCGTCTCCAGCTCCTACACGTCTAAGTCTGAACACTGAACCCACCACTTTGTTCTTAATTTCGGGGAGCTAATTTGGAATTTTCTTCTCTTTTTCCACCATTGACGACCTCCGCTAATTTATACTTTAGCCACAACACACTCCCACATGTATAGTTCACGCAAGCTTCATCCTTTCCATAACCAGACGCTACACGTCTACATATCAGACACGCCAACCAGGTCACTTATAAGTGGCCACCTGGTAACTTTTAAATCACCGCGCCGTCCTCTCTTCTATAAAATGCTCTCTCCGGACCATTCTGATTCTAAAATCAAGCTATCATGGCTAGGCTCAATTCCAGAAACAAAACCCCGATATTGCTTTCCGATGGCTGTGTCTTCTTCGGAGGTGTGGTCGCTGCTGTTTTTGTGGTTTGGGGTTTCTGGTCCTTCATTGCCCCGTTTCCTGCTAAAAACGCGAACTTTCAGTCCGTCACCAGTAAGTTGAAATCCCTAAAAGGTCCCGACGGCGCTCTGAGCTGTGCCTCCAGTACTCGTGGTCCTGATCTCCGACACGACGCCCCGGAAAAAACCTTCTACGATGACCCCGAAATGGGGTACTCACTGGACAATCCGATGAAGAACTGGGACGACAAACGGAAGGAGTGGCTGTCGCTTCATCCGTCGTTCATCCAGGGATTGCAAGAGAGGATTCTTATTGTGACGGGATCTCAGCCGTTTCCTTGTCAGAATCCGATCGGCGATCACCTGCTCCTGAGGTTCTTCAAGAACAAAGTGGATTACTGCCGTGTCCACGGGTACAACATCTTCTACAACAACGTGCTGCTTCATCCGAAGATGGAAACGTACTGGTCCAAGTATCCGATGATAAAAGCCGCGATGCTGGCCCATCCGGAGGCCGAGTGGATCTGGTGGGTCGACTCGGATGCCATGTTCACGGACATGGATTTCAAGCTCCCATTGCGCCGTTACAAGGATCACAACCTTATGATTCAAGGGTGGCCCACTCTGATACAAGAAGAGAAAAGCTCGATGGGTCTAAACGCCGGCGTGTTCCTGATTAGAAACTGCCAGTGGTCGTTGGATTTCATGGACGTGTGGACGAGCATGGGCCCACAGTCACCGGACTACAAAAAGTGGGGCGAGATACAGAGAAACACCTTCAAGGACAAGAATTACCCGGAGTCCGATGATCAGGCAGGGCTGGCTTACTTGATCGGGGAAGAGAAAGAGAAATGGGGGAACAAGATTTACTTAGAAACAGAGTACGCGTTCTCGGGGTACTGGGAGAATCTGGTAGGGACGTTTGAGAATATTTCAGAGAAATACAATGAAGTAGAGAGAGAGGAGACGAGGCTGAGGAGGAGGCATGCAGAGATGGTGAGTGAGAGTTACGGTGCGGCGAGGGTGGCGAAACTGAAAGACGCGAGCTGGAAGAGGCCGTTCATAACACACTTCACGGGCTGCCAACCTTGCAATGGGAATCACGATGAGAGGTATTCAGGGGACGCTTGTTGGGATGGAATGAAGAAGGCTCTGAATTTTGCTGATAATCAGGTGCTGCGTAACTACGGTTTCGTGCATCCCGATCTGCTGGATAACTCCGTTTCTCCTACCCCTTTCGATTACCCTGCCTGACACCCTCATTAGGTAATTACTTATTTCTTTTAATTAATTAATTATATGCGCACAAACTCGACTCCTCATGGGTGATGAGATAAGGGTCATGGGTTGTCCAGATTTAGGAATATTGTTTTAAATTTAAAAGTTTTAATTTTTAATAAATTTATTTATTATCAAATTAGACGGTACAAATTCAATGTGAATAGCATAATTTAGTATTAAACTCTTTTTATAAATTAACTATTTATATCTATTATAGGAAATCGAGATTTAGTATTAAAATTTTTTATACACGATTTATTTTTAATGAGAAAAGCACAACTTGCCAATCCAGACTGACAGGACACTGAGGTTTTTTTTTTTTTAAAAAAAGGAAAGTTAAAAATTTTAAATTTGAACCATAAATTTGTATATCAATTTATAAAAATTATAAATAATTTTAATATTAAATTTAAACCATCTAAATTAAATTTAGACTATCCAGATTGGTCACAAGTAGATTTATTAAAAATTTATCATTATCTATTTTAATAAATACAAAACAAAAATATAAACTAAAAAATTTAAATATGAATCGTCCAAATTAAATTTGAATGGCCTATATCTCATTAGGTGATGAGAGTTGAATTATAGTGAAAAAAAAATACAATAATGGCACTTTATTTGAAATACAAATAAAAATTAATATATATTGGAAAAATCATAATCAAAGATCACTATACATGATTAATTGATATGCAAACTAAATAATTTTGATGTTATTTTGTAGGACTGAATGACCTAAATGTAATTAAAATTTATTGTGAAAACATAAAAATATTCCTTATATATATATATATATACATATAATTTATTGTTATCCAAATAAAAATGAAACTTGCTTTTTCTTGAATGAAGACTTGTTCATCAGATTACAATAATTTTTTTCAACTGTCAAGTTAATATTTTGGAGTTATTAATGAAGGAATTCATTGTTGTTAAAATAAAAATAAGACTTATTTCTCGAATTGGAGACTTATTAATCAAATCACAACATTTGTTCTTCTCCACATTTTTTTAAATTATTTTTAAAAAATTATTGTTAAAATGGAAATGAGATTTTTTTTTCGAATGGGTACTTATTCACTAAATTACAACACTTATTCATTTCCACTACTAAGTTAATTTTTTTGAAGTTGATAATAACAAAAATGATTGTTGTTAAAAATGAAAATGTGACTTTTTTCAATGAGGACTTGTTAAAAGCGTGTACACACACAACAAATTTTAATTACATCTAGATCCTTTAGTCATGTATAATAATATTAAAATTATTTGATCATGTAGAGTAATTAATTGTATCTATTGATTCTTACTTTTAATTTTCCCATATATATTTTTGGGAGAATTATAGTCAGCTTCCTTTTAAGAAAACTAATCACGAACAAGGACCAACAACAAGTCTCATTCGAAAAATAACAAGTCATATTTTACATTTTAATAATGATCTATTTTGAATTGATCCTTATCCATAATAAATTTTTTTGAGAGAGAATTGGTATTTCTCCCTACATTTTTCTTGGACCAACAATAAATAAATAATATTATATTTTCCGATGCATGCTGCCTTTTATAACTATGCCAGTTTCTGGGCCATATTGGGCCTTGTTTGCCGGTGATTATTGTCTTTAGTTTCTGAAGAGCTTTTGACTGGAATCAACAGGATTAGAGGAGCCGCGTAACGAGCCACCGAGGTACGAGCGTGAGATGGGCATGGGAATTAATACTATCGTTAAGGTTATATGTATGTCAATACCCCTAGATTGATTCCCTTTTAGGGTTGCTCTTCGTTTATCATATTGTACCCAAAACAATGTTCATGTTATGTCGTTCCCTTCTCTATCCTGACTGGTTGAAATGGCTCTCTGGACATGTTAGATGCATAGCAATATAATTATTTGCGTTTTATGACGTTCCAATGTTCACATGATTTATACAATCTGAAATGGCTCTGTAAACTCAGGACGCGACTTGTTTTCAAATATCAATTACAGGCTTACAGCTGCTATTTTAAGCGCGATCGTTCAGCAGCTGATGAAGTGACTAACTTGTTTTCTTCTACCAGCCACTTTCTTAATTTTCGTTTTTCTCAAACCAGAATGCTCAACTGCAGGAAGTTTAAGATGCACTTCACTCCAAAAGGGGAAAAAAAAAGGAAATTTTTTTTATTTTGAGAATAAAAAATGAAGTTCAGTTCCGAATTCCAAGTAGCTGTGACTGTGCTTCGTGACAATAACAGTGCTACCTCCATGCCACAATGGAATTGGCTTTGCTAGCCGACAGCTCCATTGCACCAAATAGAAGATCTGAACCATCCAGATTAATTTGAACATTCCAGATTTTAGATTTTTATAAATATATTTAATTTAATATTTTACTAAATATAAAATAAAAAATAAAAATATTAAATCTCAACTCAAATCTTCTCTCTGATGCAATGGCAGCAAAGCCAAATCCATACTACACAATATAATATTTCCAATAAGTTATCTGTATCTTCCACGGTTACATAAAAGGACAAATCCAATGAGCTTTCTTCCATTATCGGTTCCATTTCGAGTTAGCTAATTGCTAATCCTACGTCCACCGATCCTTCGAAACTAGTAATGGAGAAGATGAACAATGGCTGCATCGCATCCCCGAAAACTCTCAAGTCCCGAATCCAAAATGGCGAAGTCCTCTACGGCGTATCTCTCCTCAGCTTCTCCCCTACAGTCGCAGAGATCTTAGGCTACGTTGGCTACGACTTCGTCCTCATCGATATGGAGCACGGCCCCGGCGGAATTTCCGATGCCCTCCCGTGCATCCACGCACTTGCCGCCACCCAAACTGCAGCCATCTTCCGCGTTCCCGAGAACTCGCCGGTCTGGGTCAGGAAGGCCATCGACCTTGGCGCGCAGGGCATCATTTTCCCCATGATTGAAGACCCTGAATCAGCCACAAAAGCGGTGTTGTATTGCCGTTACCCACCGGCCGGAGTTCGAGCAGTGGCCGGACCCATTGTGAGAGCGTCGAAATACGGGCTCGATCCGGATTACCCGGACCGAACCAGTAAGGAGTTGCTGATAGTATGTCAGATTGAATCAGAGGCGGGAGTGAAGAACGTGAAAGAGATAGCAAGCGTGGACGGCGTGGACATGATAATGGTGGGGCCACTCGACCTGAGCGCAAGCATAGGTTGCTTGACGAATCCAAAAAATGAGAAGGTAAAGATGATGATCGATGAAGTGGAGAAGACAGTTTTGGAGCTTGAACGCAAAGATGGTGGTGGGCCTTACTTGGGCAGGTTCGGAACCGCTAGTGATGGACCTCAACAGTATCAGAATGGTGGGTATCGCTTGATTCGTGTTAATGTGGATGTCATCCTCTTCAAAAATGCGTGCCTCGAGGACATCAAGAGGTTCAAGTCAGCAAAATAAATGGATATTGATATGTGTCTTCCTGTTGGTTGTAACAAAATTGTAATTGTATCTGTCGTGTGAAACAATAGACAGGCTGAGTCTTTTCCTGTGTCCGTATGTTTAATTCTTATCTTCAAAATTGAAGATCCTTCTTCCTGAACATCATAGAAATAATGTCTAATATTATCGTACCTGCATAAGCTAACACTCACCAGGTCTCTTTTGCTTCACGACATCCTCATGTTGGTAGTAATGCAACGGTGAAGAATTCACCCCGCGAATTTAGACCACGTATAAGCTAACAAGTCTCTGATAATTAATACTACAATGGTCATGTACTTCTCGTTTACTACTGCAAATTAATTCAACAGAAACGTCACCATCGTTCCAAATCAGAAGCTAATGGTCATCTTTGAGATCAACAGAAGGATTTGAAGTGGGGTGTTGATTGGGATTTTCAGAATTAGAGGAGTTTTGCTTTCCCTTCGCCATTCGTTTTGCTTTCCGTCGCTGATTTACTTTCTTCGAGGTTGGAGGACCTAAACCAGGTTATGCGACAATATTGAGCTGTTCAATTTCAAAGATCAGGAACACAACAAGAAGTGCACAAAGGATTCTGACCTGGCTCGTCTGCACCACAATATTCCTGGCTCTCAGAGGCATTTGATCGAACACCTGGAGGGTGATTCGCACCTTCATGGGCATCCAAGTCGCCGTTGGTGGGTAACAACGGCCCGATTAATTTTCCGCGACGGATGGCTTCTTCCTTCAGCTTCTTCTTACGGATTTTCTTCCGCTGAGCCCTGGTCAGCTTTTGCGACTCAGATTCCTGTACTTCGTCGCCGCTTGCAGAGGCACTCTCATAGCCATCCAAAGCATCTGCACCAAATAAGAGAAGTTTGGTGATTGTTTGAGTAGTATAGTTTTCAATTAAAACAAATTATATGGCGTAAAACCTGGAATAGCATCAGAACCAGACCCTTGGATCGAAGCCTGCACAGGATTTGACTCTTGTTCTTCTGGCTAAAATGATGACATTGTTACATCATCCATGAAAAAGAAGCGAATGCCGGGAAAAAAGGAAAGAAAGGGAAGGAAGAGGGGAGTGAGAGAGAAATAGTACATGGAATGGAGGAGACTCATATTGAGGCGGAGGTGGAAAGAGCGTGTTAACGATGGCCTCATTGAACTTGCGTTTTCTCTCTTCCCGGTTCATGAAACCCACAGAATTGAAAACGAGGCAGTGTGCTACTAATTTGATAAACCAGAGCCAAAAACACGAATGGAAGAGTCACACGCTGTGGTCGTGGTCGACTGATTTTTCTCAAATACACGCCTCCCCTAGAAGGGATCACCTGGTGTGGTGTGGTGTGGCGACTTTCGAGACTCTCGGGTTTCTTACTGTCATGTGAGAAGATTTTTCACTGGGTTTAAAAAAAAAAAAATTAAAATACTAATTTGCCCCCAAATTTTCGTTTGAGGTCAGGCACCCTGCACCTTCAAGTCAAGGTCATCTCATATATTAAAAAAAAAACAATTTATATCCTTAACTTTATATATTTATTATATTTATATTTAATTAAATTATATGAATTTTAATATATTAATTCAATTAACAACAAAAATTTATTATAAGATAAATAATATTTAAAAGATTCACATATCTTGACTTGATTAAATACAAAGACTTTAAATATATAAAGTTAAGTATATAAGTTTTTTTATTAAAAAATAGAGTAATAACTTACTTGGTTAAATACATGATAGTTTGGCTATTAATTGATATAAAAAAATAGATTTAAAAATTTTATACATTGATTTAGAAAATTATAAAAAATATTTTATTAAAAGATCATACTAATTAAGTCTTTTAAACTATAAATAATTTTAATATACTAATATTATTTTTTATCCATATAAATTATAAAATATAAAATAATCATTTTATGCAATCACTTTATTGATTATCAGATATTATCGAGTTACCAATATTAGAAACTACAGGCAAAGAATTTAGAAAATATTATATTTGTTTTGATAAAATTTTGTTAAAATTTTAAATATTTTAATAATTTAAATATTATTATTTATAAATATTTTTCTGAAATTTATAAATATTATTTTTAAGTATTGATTGCCTAACTAGTTTTTCTGAAATTTATAGGTAAATGTGTTTTTCATGCTAAATGATTTGTAAATTAAAATAGTATGATACATTATAAATCTTCCTTCAAAATTTATAACTCCTCCTTCAAATTAAAATTTGATTTGTAAATTGTGCGAGAATATTTATAAATAATTAATGTTTATATTATGAAATATTAAAGTATTAATATTTTAAATTATATTTTTATTTCTAATTCAACCATCTTAATTTCAACATAGCAAACGGGCCCTAATAGCAAGGTCGGATAATGAAAGCAAAAAACAAAATTAAATCCATAAATGCTCCAAATTTTCTTCCATCTAAAAAAATGAACTCATAAACACTAAACAAATGTTAATTGCTTGCATTCGGAAAAAATAAATGGTAAGTCAGTCAGTTTTTAAAAATATTAAGAAAGGTTAAAATATATTTTTAATCTTCTAATTTTATATAAAGTTTTAATTTATTTCTTTAATTTTATAACATAATTTTTTAATCATTTAATTTTAATATTGTTAATTTTAATTTTTTTATTAATTATTATTATTTTTAAAAAAATTAATCTTAATTTGTTAAAATTTGAGAATGTTTCCTTAAATTGAAAGTTTAATATAAAAATTTGTTAAAATAAAATTAATTATATTGAGATTATAAGATTAAAAAAATATTTTATAAAATTAAGGGATTAAAATAAAAATTTATTTAAAATTAAAAAATTAGATGTATATTTTAATTCATTAAGAAATAAATAAATTGGATTAACCGGATTGGTCCACACGCCTAATGGATCAAGTCGGCTTGCTTTTAAATGGGTTCCATTTTTCAGCCTAGCCCACTCATTTTGGCGGCCTAGATGGAATGGTCTTTTTGACTTTTTCATACTAACGTAAATGGAGAAAAGCAGGAAATTCTGATGTAGCATTGATCGATTTGATTCTTATCGTTGAGTACAACTTTGGTTCAATGAGAAAGATGAAGATAAATCATCCAACACAATTTACAAAAGTAAAATAAAAGATAATTCTATATTACTCTATTATTTATTGACGTGGCTGTTAATTTATTTCTTACAATTAGATTTTATCCCACCCGTATATAGATTTGGAGATTAGAGATATGTTCTAAACTATGCACACCAATTAATCAAGAAAATTAGGAAGAATACAGTATAAGCCTAAATTTAATAATATATATAACCTATCTGTTTAAAAATATATTACATTTTGTTAAGAAAAATGTTTAAAAATATAAAGTATTTTGAGTTTTCAAAATACAATAATATTTTTTTCAAAAATATCATTAATTAAGATGTGTAATTTTAAATAAAGATAAATATGAAAAGAGTATGTAATTTTAAAAATAATTAACTACTAACTAATTCATTAGAATGTATAATTTGGTTAAAAGTTACTTAGTTTCTTGACCAAAGGAGGTATACTGTGGCATTTTACAAAAATTCTGAATTTCCATGTATAATTTTATACAACTGCAGCAGAGTTGATGCTAGTAGAAGTTGTGAACCGAAATTTGTACAGAGCTAGAAGAACAATAATCAAGGCTTCCAGAGAATCCTCTCATCAAGTTTCTTATTGGACTTGGTAAATTATATTTTACGGTATTACTTAGATGGGTTGCTTAATTAGTAGTAAATAACTTTTTACAAAAATAATTTCAGTAAGAATTAAGTAATTGCAATAATTCAGTACAAGAGACGTTTTGTCAAATCCCATGGGCGCTTTCGTGCGTTAGTTTTATTATACGTACAATTCAACGGATGAGTTGCTTGAAATTCCACGTTCTCAGTCATAAGTCATAATTAAGATCTTCGAGAAAGATATAACAAGACTAATTAACTAATTATACATTAACCAACGATTTGTAGAAGTAAACAAAAAGTAAGGAAAAAGGGAAGAGATACAAGACGCAGGTTGTTTTAATCTCTTCGATAAACATATTTTTTAATATTATTTATTGGGGAATGAATCTTTTGCTCATTTTTTTTTAAAAACAACATGTAAACAGATGTGTATATTTTATTGTCTAAATGTGATTTGGATAATTCAGGTCAGAGGAAATTTGGATAAGATTTCAACGTTCAAAGTTGGAAATCAAAACAATTCAGTTAAAGAAAAAGTGGAAATCAAAGCAATGAAGGCTTTTATTGCGTTTTCAGAAACAGAAATGGCTTTAAAAAATCTACATTCCTTTCTCGTCAACAAACGGAGGCTGTGAACTAGCTCAACCCTTTTGTATTAATATAAAAATGGAATTTTGATCAAAGACTTTAATACTAGCATCAACAAATTTTTATTTGATTTTCTAAGAAAAATATGTAAATTTTTTTTAGTTTGTGATATTAATTTGTGAAAATATATTTTTCTCTCATTTAATTTATAAATTAACAAAATATAAAGAAAAAAATTTTCAAATCAAATTAAAATAAATAAATTTTAATGTATTAATAATGTTAATAAAATGAGTTTGTTATAAAATAAATAATATATAAAATATCTACATGTCTTTACTCTATTTTATAAAGTGATATGAATAAACTCAGTTTAATTTTTCTGCCCAATAACTCCTTTCACATCACGGATGAGATTATTACTATTACTATTACTATTATTATTATTATTATTTTGGCCAAAAGCACGGCCGAGATTATGAAAATTCCAATTTCCCATACGTAAATATTTTTTCAGCTACTCGTTCGTGGTTGTACATATGTAGTTATTAGTTCATTCTAACTTATAAAATATTTTTAAAAATTTTTTTTAAAAAAATATAAAATATTTTGGATAAATTAAGGTTTCATTAAATGCATCAATTTTAATATTATTTTTTTTTTTTATAATTAATTTTCATCTCTTTTTTTAATGTATTAAATAATAGGTATTTTGAGAAGTTTATATTTTTATTTTAAAAAAATAAAATTATTCAGTGTATTTAATAAAATTTATTAATATGTAAAATTTTATTTAAAAATATTTTATAATTTAAAATGAAGAGAGTATTTGGTGTTGTTACAGCAGTAAAGGAATAAAATGGGACGGGGCATAATAAATGATTTGGAAGAAACAAAAGTAACCAAAATATAAATCTGTTAGGACTGAATCCTTCAACAAAATGAGCCTTTAAAAATAAGAAAGGTAATAATGAAAAAGTCCAACCATAAAATCATCGTGAGTCCGTGACGTTGTTCTTATCCAGTACAAATAACTGTGTCAAACATGCAATACATAAATACTTATATATTCATTATTTACATATAGGCAGTTGCAAATCTATTTATATGTGAGAGTGAGTAAATGCTCTCGATCACTTAAAAAAAAAAAAATTACATGTTGGTGTAAGAAAATTTTACTCTTTTCTCTCACCAAATTTAGGATTTTGAATCTATCAAAATATCAATCTTCCTTGTTTGAAAAAATAATGTTTCAATGTAATACTAAAATTTAAATATATTTTTATATTTTAAAAACAGCGGCGTAAATATAATTATTTAATTAATTTTATTTAACTTAAAATTAAACATATTGTATTTAAATAATAAATTTTTAAATCTTTTTTTAAAATGCTTTTGCTAACCAAAGGTCCTCGATTTGGGAACAGCTTTAGGTGGTGTGCTTATCATCGTATGGAGGGTGATTTAAGCCTTTCATTTTTTATCAACCGATCTTTGTTGTTGATTTAAAATTATGTTTTAGATATTTTTATATCATATTAATCAACATAAAAATATTTAAAAATTGAAAAAATTATAATATTAAGTATGCGTTATTTTTTTATGTTTATTAGAAGGTAAATACTATGGTACTTATCTCCTCTCATAAAATTTGGAGAGTCCAAACCTAAGTTTTTTATTTTTTTTATTTTTTTTTAAAATAAAAATTTGTAAAAAATATAAAAATATTTAATAAATTTATTTATCACTTAGTACAAATTTAATGTGGATGACCCACTTTAATGTTAATTTTTTATTATTTTTATAAATTGATTATTTAGAAACACTGTAAACAGTACAAATATAATTTAAAATATTTAATTTAATATTAAAAATTTTATAATTTTAACTAATTGACTATTTAGATATGCTCAAATAATTCAGATTTAATATTATAATTTTTTATAATTTTTATTTTGATAAATATAATATAAAAATGTTTAAAAAATTTTAAATTAACAATAGATATCGTTTGAAAAAAAAAATGAAGAGCCTAGATTACCCATAAAGGTAATTGCCACGTGGTGCAGATCAGTATCGATGTGCGCAACTGAGGAGCAGCCAATGCGGTACCCTCCGTCTGCCGCTGTACGTAGGTCCATCTTGTGAACATGAATGAATGATTGCTTTGCTGTTTCTTTTAATTTTCAAACTTCCGACGAAAAATTTTAATGAACGTAATTAATTAATTATAATTATTCCCCTTTTACATATCGGATGAAAAATTATTTACCATATCGTCAACTGTTTTTCCAAAAAAAAAATGCAAGAGCGTGCGCATGCAGAAGCATGACTGGTTTAATTTAAAAATAATAAGCAGTTATTTTCATGAGTAGATTTTTATTTTGGGTAAGAGCAAAAAGCTATGGATGAGTATGGATTATACTCAACGTTGAAAGTATCAACAAGTCTACAACAAGAAAGTCAGCTGAGAAGCTCCTTCTCAGAAGAAGCAAGATAATTATAAAGAGATGAATATATATATATATATATACACACACATTATCAGGGCCGCCAGTTACGGTTGAGTACCAGCTGCAAATTGCTGGACACACTCAGTTTTTTCAATTTTCATTTTAATTAATTTGATAATTAATGCCTAATTAAACACTTCATTCCATCCCTACAACAAGTTGGGGGACTTTAAAGTGAAAGCCATCACATAATGACCTTTTGGCTTGCTTGGTTCTAGAGCTGAAAAATGAATAGATTTGGCTTATATAAGCTTAGTTTTTATAGGCCTAATCTTTAAAGGTAGGGCCTTTAAGCTTGATTTTTTTAAAATATTTTTTTTAAAATTCAAATTTTATATAAAGGGCTTAGGGTCAAACTTATAAGCCCTTATTATTATTATTTTATTTTTTAGAATTTTTAAAAATTAAAAATTTTAATTATAATATTTCATATATTTTTTAAAAATACAAATTATAGTGTTTAAAAATTAAAAATAAATAATAAAAATTTTAATTTTAAAATATAAACATATATTTTAAATTTTAAATTTAATTTAAAAATTAAAAATATTTTATTTTTAACTGAAAAATAAAAACGGGTTTAAAGGGGTTGTTCGAGCCGAGGTCCATTTTTTTAGGGTCTATCAAGGTTGAGCTTAAAAGTTTAATTTTTTAAAAAATGTTATTTTTTTAAAACCCGAACCCTTATAAAAATATGTTTAAATGAATAGCCCTACAAATTCGACTCTTATTCCTGACTTTACTTAGCTCCTAGCTCGTGCATCTTTTGTTTACCTTTCAAAACCATTAAAACTGCGGTGAGCCATGGTTTTTATAATTTCTAATATAAAACCAAGTACACATTATTAATATGCTGTATAGCTGCTCTTTAAAAAAAAAAATTGAGCATTTGAGCTGGGCTTAACTTGAATTACACAATATGAAAGGTTTAATTAGAATAGCAATGAATGATTTGAGATGTTTGCCGTTGCATTCTATCATTAAAAAATCTATTCCATTTTTGTTTTAACAAATAATTGATGCCTAATTAAACACTTCATTCCATCCCTACAAGTTGGGGAACTTTAAAGTGAAAGCCATCACATAATGACTATTTGGCTTGCTTGGCTCTAGAGCTAGAAAATAGATGGACCAGCTCATATAAGTTTGGCTCTTATGAGCCCAACTCTTAAAGGTAGAGCTTTTGAGTTTAATTTTTTTAAAATATTGTTTTTTAAATCTAGCCCTTATATAAAAGATCAAGGGTCAGACCTATAAGTCTTTATTATTATTATTATTATTTTTTATATTTTTTAAAAATTAAAATTTTTAATTATAATATTTTATATATTTTTTAAAAATACAAATTATTGTATTTAAAAATTAAAAATAAATAATAAAAATTTTAATTTTAAAGTATAAATATTTATTTTAAAGTTTAAATTTAATTTAAAAATTAAAAATATTTTATTTTTTAATGAAAAAATAAAAATGAGCTTAAAAGGGCCACTCAAGTCTGAATCCTTTTTTTTAAGATCTATCAAGGTAGGGCTTAAAAGTTTAATTTTCTTAAAAAATGTTATTTTTTTCAAGCTCAAACCCTTATAAAAATAGGTTGAAATGAACAGCCCTATAAACTCAACTCTTATTCCTAACTTTACTTGGCTCCTAGGTCATGTATCTTTCGTTTACCTTTCAAAACCATTAAAACTGCAGTGAGCCATGGCTTTTACAATTTCCAATATAAAACCAAGTGTACATTATTAATATGCTGTATAGCTGCTCTTTTTAAAAAAAAAAAAAATTGAGCATTTGAGCTGGCCTTAACTTGAATTACACAATATGAAAGGTTTAATTAGAATAGCAATGAATGATTTGAGATGTTTGCCGTTGCATTCTATCATCAAAAAATCTATTCCATTTTTTTTTTAACAGCCTAAATTTTTCAATGTTATGCACAGCCAAACTCTGAAGAATCGAAACTCAGACTCCATTTGGCGTAGATTTTCACAACACTGCGAAAAGAGACGTATATTCTTGGAATATTTAACAGTTTCAATTTCAATCCTTGGCACAAATACGAATGTAATAACTGAAGAACAGAATCAGGAAGCTAATAATAATCTAATAAGTCTCACAGAATTAAACACAGACATACAAACAAGAAAGAATTTCACAATTCTCAGCTCCTTACGTTACTTGGGATAATTAATTCCTGAGAGAATACACCGGCGCTTCTGCGAACGGCGTGGCTTCTGCTTCTACCATGAATCGATGGCTTGGTCTTGAGATCGTCTTCAAATTCACACGGCTTGTCTTCATCAATCCTTCCGATTCCGACACTGCGACTCCGAGGCACTGCCATCTTAGACGCCTTGGCCGGTGCCTGCGACGGCGACGTCTGTTTCTGAGGTGAAAGATCGAGCCCTGCACGATGGCGGTAAGGCACAGTATTAGCCCTCACGAGCTCCCTGTAGTCATCAGAAGCAGACTCCGACGCGGCGGAGCCGACGCTGAAGCTGCGAGGGAGGACGAGGGGATGGGCGGCGGGGCAGCCGAAGGTGGTGTCGATGGAGTTGAAGTGAGGAGAGCAGCGGTTCATGCCATTGACGTACAAGTCACGAGCCTTGGAGAGGAATCGGATGGGAGCTTTCATGTACCAACTCAGTTTCCTCTGTTTGATGGCCTTCTTGTTCCCCATACCGTAATTCAATGGGCTGTTTCCTATGAAACCTTGAGAGATCAATCACCGTATTATATATTCTCTTCTCATACAGTGGAAGCACGATTGAAGCTGGGATAAGATAGAAAATTGTGGGCTGATTCTTATGCTTGAAATGAAAATCCGGTAATTAATAATTGGTTGTTTGATTTGATGGATGGATGGACTGATTTTTTTTATTATTTTCAGTCACATGATCGTACTATGTCAATTACAATTTGACGCTCATATGGTTGGTAGGCAGCCTAAATTCCCCCCCCCCCCCGCCAAAGTCCCAACCCGGGGCAACAAAGAAAAAGTTACTATTATAAATTAGGAAGGTAACTTAAAATTAATGATTTTTAAAATCTATACTCCCTATATTTAAAAATGTAAAATATTTTTTTATTAAATCTCACCTCTAATAAAATAATTACTTATTTAAAATTAATTATATTTTTTTATATTTATTCCTATTTAATCAATAAAGACACTTAAAAAAAAGATAATGATCATATTTTAAAAGACTAAAAATATCTTGTATTTTTTTAACATTTAACCCCTCAAAAAATGCCTTACATTTTTAAACGTAGAAAGTAATAATTATTAAAAAACATGATAATAAATTAATTAAAATCTATTTAGTAATTTGAGTCTTTAAGAATATATAATTTAGAGATTTTTCAACTAAATTTTTTATAACAAATAATTTAGGTGAGTTGAATTACAAGCTCATTAAGATTAGGATATGTTTTCACATTCAATGAACTTTTATAAAATTATTTATAAATTGTTTATAAATAAAGTCCTCATATTATCAATAATATTTGATCCATTGAGATTTAATCTCATGATTTTATAGATTATGAATTAAATTTTCATCAACTGAACAACTACGATAAACTCAGCTTCTTTAAGAAATAAATCATTCCGTATGTTTTTATGTGTTTTCCTAATAATATATGCGGATGAGTTTCGTCGGACCCCAACATACTCCAAAAAAAAAAAAAAAAACGATAGAGTTTACGACTTTCCTTCAGCTTGTCATCTTGTCAAGTACGTACGGTTTTTATCTCTGTGAAGTTAATTCTGATACTCCCCGCTTTCTTTCTTTCTTTCTTTTTGATTAAGATGATGCTCCCCCCTTTCTTTAATTTGTGCATGCATGAATGTGATTAATATTTTTATAGTATTAATTAATTAGTTTCTAATATATCGTAAAAAATATTTTGATTGACAAATTACCAATTCTACAGTGATTGATCAAACCGATGATTCATATATTGGTCTAGTGTGACTGTCGATCCAATTAATTAAATAATGTGTCGGCACTATATTAACTAACTTTTGATCAGGACAAATATTTTAACTTCTAACAGAAGTTGAAGAGACCAACTGATTGAAAATAAGGGCTCATTCACCAAAAAAAAAAAAACAATTAAAAATTAATCAAAGAAAGAAAAAGATATGAAATAAACTGAGAAAAATTACATATTGAACGATGAGGTGCTGATCGGGTGAACGTGCGGAATTTGTCAAAGGATTATGCATAAAAAGTAAAAAAACATTCAAAACGTCAGAACTAAAATGTTTACAAGGGCGTGTTTGGATTAGCGTTGAATAACGTAGAGGTGGATAAAATTAATTTATAAGTATATGTAAATTTCTTTTTGGGTTGAATTGATTTTGTCAAAACGCAGAAGCATGTGGAAGTTGTTTATGAAAAGAATCATATTTTAGGCTTTCATGATTGATCTAATTAAAATATATGTGGGTGTTTGGTTGAGAAACTAGATTATTTATTTAATTACATTACAATATAAGTATTACATATCAAAATCAATTATGAACCTCAAATTTTAATTTTATTAAAAATATCCAAATATCTTTATACTAAAATGCCTGAAACGCGCGTTCATAGAATGATAGAACTAGTTGTTGAGTTTACACTGTGGATCAGAGTTAATTAGTGTGTTAGAATATAATAAGAGGATATTAGTCTTCAAAGTTTTAGCTAATGACAATCCAGAAAGTTTGGAAAATGATACCACCATAAATTATTCGAATTTGGAATCAGAATTAATGATATATAAGTAATGCTTAGTGTAATGCGGTCGGACTTTTTTTATTCCATCGTTCTCCTTGCGGTTTTGGCCAATCAAGATTGACTGTTTATGTTGCTGAATCTTTGAATTCTTCATTCATTCTCAATACTTGCAGGGAAGAAGATTAATGGTCTTATTATTTCTGATGTTAGAGCAGAGAATACACACAAAGCAGACGCACGCGCATAAATGTGTGTGTCATGGTCTCAAAATTGATAAAATGAGCTTGATTTTGCACTCCAATAAAAAATTAAATAGAAAATGGCGTACAACAAAGCTGGCACATCCATACGCAGCATGTCAAAGCAAGATATGGTTTTAATGTGATACACAAAAGGGAAACTTTGTTTGCTTTGACGGGAACACAAACATCACATTTTGCATTTTCTAATGACATGCTGCTTCTGAGAATAATGCAATATTAATCGATCTCAGAGACCAAACATGAAACATTCTAGTGACTGGCTTGACGTAAAATGACATGGATGTAGCATGATGCAGATACAAGCAATAAATTCTTTTGGGATTATGTAATTCTTGTACAGACAAACTGTACTATCTTATTAGTAGACTATCCAATAAAAACATGTCATATTATGTGATTGTAAAAATTGATTCTGTTATTAATGATGATAAAGAGAAAAAAGATAAAAAAAATTAAAGAGAAACCCTATTTCAAAAAAAAAACCATTAGAGATAATAACACATGAAATTTTATTTGATTGAAATAATACAATTTTATTGGATAATTTATAAATGATGTGGTGTATTGGGTCAATGCAAGAATCTCTCATGACCCTGAATATATTTGAATTGAATATGATGTTTGAACACTATGATTAACCTTCTAAAAACTCCCTAAATGTGGTAGTCTCCCCACGCTGGGCATTATGCATTTGTGCTGAACTGCTGGGTATGGATGAGGCTATACATTATCAAAGGAGGACAAAACAGGAAATCTACCTTTTCAAAAAAAAAAAAAAACATTGTATGCGTATTTAACCCAAAAACAGAATAAATTGGGCTTGCCTCGGCAATTTTGCCCTTCTCTCACCTTCCAATACCGGTGGGCCCAATCACTCTTGGGCCACAGCCAAGTCTTCCAAGTTCCAACCCATCTTTCATTTTTGGCCGAACATCTTTCTTTCTTTCTTTCTTTTTTTTTTTCACTAGCTTAAAGTTTATATTTTTTTTGGGTAACAATTAGCTTAAAGTTTATACGGTTTGAATGACTATGCATATGTTTTAGGTAAATTTATCCTCCAAGTGATGAAGTATTTTAAATTTTTATGGTAATTTAATTTGTAGATAATTATTATTAGGATTAGTTTAGATGAGAAAAAAATAAAGTCTATCTACAAACTTGTTTCTTTGCTTAATTTTCTTTTCAAAGAGGAGAATGTATGGATAAATTAAAAAAAAGGAGAATGGCTAAAAAAGACATCCTTGGAAGGCATATTGTTGTCGGAGACCAAAATCAACTTTAAAGACCAAACCATTTTTAATATTCAGAAAATACTCTAAACCAAATGATTTTATTGCCCTTTTGTGTTAAATGAATGAAATTTAAAAAAAGACATTGATTCTTTGCATGCATTCCCTAATTAGAGAACCACCAGAGAAACGAAGAATGGTCAGCTGTGATGAATGGCGTCAACGAAGAAGCAATTAATGGTGTGAGCAAGGATGTGATAGGAAGAGATTAAGAACGGCTGGATGTTGCCACCGCTTCCTTCTTGTTAGATGCACCGTCCTTCATCTTTGTTGCTCCCTTCTCTAAGTCAATCTTTAGGTACATGTGTATACGCTTACAATGCAAGGTGCAATGGTATAGGTTTTGGGTACAAGGGTATAATTTTACCTTGCACCCCAAGCCTATATCTTGCACCAAGCCTATATCTTGCATCTTACATCTTAAAGTTATACCCTTGCTCTCTAAGCTTGTACTCTTGCATCTAAAGTCAAATCTATACCCAAAGGGCATAGCTTCTCAAAAGAAGGGAGCATCCAAAGGCAGAACCAGAGTTTAATTTTGAGGGGGGCCAAATTTTTTAGGTTAATGAATATTATTAATTTAAGTAACTAAATATTACGTATATAATAAATTATATAGAATTCTTTTTTCCAAATAAATTATATAGAACTAGACGCCATTGAATATTAAGACTGAAGACAGGATAGAAATTTTTTTTTTTTTTGCATTCATAAGACAATCTTAAAAATGATGTGTTATTTTAAATTATTTAATTTAAAAAGCTAAAGAAAAAAATAGACTAACTTGTATATATAAATATTATGCATCATTCCTTTTTTATGAATAAAAAGTTAACACTACTTATGTCCCAAATTATATAAGAAACTTTGATAAAAATAAAGTTTTATTAATTATATTTTTTCAATATTATCATTCTCATATATTTTTTCTCTTTAATATTCTTTCACATAAAATATTAAATGAAGAACATTTTTAGAAGTTCATGTATTTGTTTTGAAAAATAAGGTTGTAAGGTATATTTAATGAGTTTTACTAGCATATATAATTTTATCTAAAAATATCTTATAAATTGATATGGAAGGAATATTAATCAATAAAAATATTTTAACCAACTAAAAATTTATTTTATAATATATAAGATATATCACATATCATGGGTATATTATATGTAAAAGGTACATTATATATATATATATATATATATTCTAAAGAGGGCAAGGTTGGTTTTTCAAGGGTAAATGTGTAAATTTACCCTTAAACTTTTTCTTCAGGGGTGCATAATATTCTAAACTTTTATTGAGAGCAATGTTACCTTGAAACTCTCAAAAATGATGTAATGTTGCCCTCCTGTCAGGGTTGACTATTTGTTGACCGTTTTATTTGACTGGATTTGCCACGTGACATTTTTTTAAAAGTTAAAAAATAGTAAAGGTGCAAATTTATCCTGAAACTTTTCCTACATAGGTGCTTAGTATCCTCAACTTCTTTTTTAAGGCAATATTGCCCCGAAA